CGTTGCCTGGTTCGCGAAATCATTTCCTGCCAACGTATTTCTTTGAGAGTCCTTTACACGGAGTCTAGGCGCGTATGGGGAAAGATCTTAAAACGTGAGAATGACACACGGGGTAGGAACATATCTCCAAAGTTTTATCCTCCCAGCTTTCCTGGTTGCTGAGATGAAAGTGGGTGACAAAATGCACTCGCTTTCTAAACACACACACGCGCACACACACATACACACACAGACAGCCTCTCGACAATATGTGTTTTTGCTGGCTGTAGCAGCTTTATAGCGCTGCACAGCAAAAACGCATAAAAATCAGATTAAGAAAAAAAAACCAAAAAAGGGCAAGGTGCTTTCCAAAGGAAAGTAACTGCAAGGCAGAACCTTCTGATGCTGGTCTCAAAAATTTGTTTTATGAAGGGAAATTTCTTGTGTACTCATTATCGAACAAGCGCAGTCCTAATGTCATCAATCATTAAACGCATCTACTAGGGCTAAGAAACAGGGCCTGGGCAATAGAGGCATGCATCCGGGGTCGACATTTCATGTGGCACACACGCAGATATATACACACATTTTCCTTCTCATCTAGCAACACCTTTTATTTTAGGCATCTTTCAGTGAATAATCAAAACCAAACTTCTTGTTAAAGCTTCGTTCACTTTTCTGAATGTTTGTAAGAAACTATCTTTGGATGTATAGTCGTTCTTCCTAATCCATACAATTCATCAAATTTCGCAACTCTTTTTGGGCTTGGCAGTTTTTGAGCAACAGTGCAGGACCTTTTTTATTTAGATGATACTCTTTTACTGCCTCGTTTCATTTAAATGAGTGAACACTTCACATCAACAATATGGCGCATTTTCCTTTGCAAGTACACTGTGAGCAAACATGCCAAAAATAAGGAAAATTCGAGTTTACCTATATGTATGTGTAGTAATGAGAGTATAGTATGTATGATGGCTCTGTTGCGTATTCATAGAGCTGGTTATATAGGGCATTCAGCGTATTTGGCACATGGTATAATATGATAGGCATCAATTAACAAACAATTTATCCAAACTGAAAGGCTTGATGTAAGCCAACTAGGGGTCAATTATTTAACACGACGCAATTAATTAGAACTAGGCCAGCGACATTCACGAAACACAGTAAAGCACAGTACTTCAATATCACAAAGAAAACTGCAGAACACGTGAGGAACGGGAAGAGGGAGAGACTGAAGTTAAGGTGAGGTCAGTGTGAAATGTAAAAACAGGAAGATGGACGATGCTGCGTTGTTTCCGCAACACTAGCCAAAATGGGAATTCAGAGGATTTTCAGAGTATCCAGAAGTAAGCATTTTTTGGAATTTAGAAGATAGTGACAGCTGGTGCGGATCCTCTGGTATACCGAATGAAACTGTCAATCACTGGCTTGAAATGAATTGGCTCTCTGGGATTTTTGAGGTGAAAAGATGCAAATGAGCGCAGATGCGCATGAGAATCGAACCCAAGCTGGAACGCACCAGGCTCTTCGGTGCGACCGTGCGTTTTTGCACTAAACTCGCTGGTCGCTATTAGCAGGAATGATCCCTACGCTGTAGCCTAACACTTGGGCTCATATTGGCCGTGCTTTGACCCTTTCCAGCATGCAGGAGGAAGGGCCAGTTCTGGGATGAAGGTGGTGCAATATAGAGCCGCACAGACATCCAGGTGCATGATTACCGGTTTTTTGCATGAAGTCCGGTCGTTTTTTCGTTAAATGCTCGCTTTGTAAACAAAGGCTGGAATGCACCAGGCGAGCCGGTGCGATCATGCGTTTTTGCATCAGAACTAAAGTAAAAGTATTGCCCGAGC